GGGGGGGAGATTCTGGAGTAGGACTTTCAAGGCAGAGATATGTACCTCTTACTCTTCAATTTAATTCCACAAAAATCTACTGGAAATGTAATCTGCTCAGCCAGTATCTTAAATGGCTAAGGCACAAACATGAATAAGACCATTCCTGAGACACTGACTGACTTGCAGGCTCCTCCCTGTGGAAATCTATAGCCTACTACTCACTGATGCTCCTTCAAAATAATATAAAAACAAATTAAGATAAACATGTACCTGCAGAACTGCTTTCCTTTAAGTATTTCTGCTTCTTTTGAGTACAATTCTCACAGAGAAGCTTATTATTCCCCATTAGTAATTCCATAGATGTAAACTGGTAGAGACAGGACTGAATTGAACATTCTTTGGAAGTAGTTACATAGCTCTGAGAAAGAGTCTGAAAAGCATTTTGGGGACTGTGAGGCCTCATATGTTTCCTATCTGGAAGACATAGGTTGTTTGGACCATTAAGGGGATGATTTTCTCTGTCAAAATCTCTATCTCCAGTTGCAGTGTTGTTCAATCGAAGGTCAGAAATTGCTTGAGCTATTCCCTCATCTCCACTGTCAGTCTTGGAATGTGGCAGTTCAGGTGATGGCAGCTGACGGTGCCTATGTGTTTGCCCATGGGCTTCACCATGGGATCTAGGCAGCTTGCTCTTCCGGGAAGTGCTTTCCGATTCTGAAGCCTCACTGTCGGCATCAGCGCTAGATTCAGAATTGCTTGCCGCTTTGTCACTGCCATCTGTAGGGCTTTCTGTCAGAGACCTTGTAGTACTCTCAATACTTGCAAAGGCTGATGACTCCCCACTCCTTTCGAGGTCTTCATTGTTCTCATAAATGACAGCAGGGTTTTCTCCAGGTGATAATTTTCTTCCATATTTTCTGCTAGGAATTCCTTGATTCTGTAAATTGGCAGTGTTCACAAAGAAAAGAATCTGTGACTTTACTGAAAATAAACTGAAAGTCCTATTTAATTGTTCTATAACTATTAAACATGCTTTTTATGACATCCATTTCCAAAATCTACCTAAACTAAGATCAACAGAAAATATACTAACAAAGAGTTCTAATTTAAAACTATAACTGAGCTGGTATGTAGTTCAGTGGCAAAGCACTTGCCTACCACGGTAAATATCCTGGATTTGATCCCCAGTACCAAAAAAGAAAAGACAAAAACAAAAAACAAAAAGTTAAAACTAAAACTTTATTTGGGAACAAACAACAGTGGTCACCTGTTTTTGTGGAAGGGAAAAACATTTTTGGAGTCCAGGGCTATGAAGAAAACGTAAACCTTTTTCGTACATAAATTTTATAATTTGAAAATGTACTATGTATTTTTTAAACACAAGAAAAATTAATACATTTCAGGCTGTCTCATGATTGTATTGATGGTTTCCATAGATCTGAAAGAAATATTTTAAGTGTCCATCAGTTTGCTTTTTGGGGTGTGTGTGTGTGTGTGTGCGTGCGTGCGTGTGTGTGTGTGTGTGTGTGTGTGTGTCAGTACTGAGGCCTGAATTGATTTTTGGTGGCTAACTGGGTCTCACAGACTTCCCTGCTGGAGCTGGCTTCAAAGAATGATCCTCAGATCTCAACCTCTGAGTAGTTAGGATTACAGGCATGAGTCACTAGCACCCAGCTAGGTTTTTAAATCATAGTTAGCCCAACTGTTTCTTGGTGACTGTGTAACAGAGGTAAAATAACCTAAGTTTGACAGTGAAGAGAATTATCCATTCACTTAATCTCACTATTTTACTAGCAGATCAGCATGTATGTCTCATTATCAATTTTAAAAGATGGAAGGAGCTTCTGTTTTTTGTTATACACACAGTTAAATCCATTTTAAATCTTTAAAATGTAGGGCAGATAAAAATATTCCAAGAAGAAATGTATCTCTTTCATTTTGTCTCAAGGAATTCTCAAAGGGCCAGGGGGCAGTGGCTCATGCCTGTAATCCTAGCTACTCAGGAGGACAACATCTGAGGATTACAGTTAGAAGCTAGCTCCAGCAGGAAAGTCTGTGAAATTCTTTATCTCCAGTTAGCCACCAAAACGCCAGAGCTCCATTTCTGGTTTGAGTGAAAAAGCTAAGGGACAGAGTCTGAGTTCAAGCCCTAGTACAAGCACAAAAAGAATAAAAAATAAAAAATCCCAATGATTACTGAGTGTCCATTTTGTACAGTCTTGACACTTTGAGGCCTCAGTTACTAAAAGAGTAATTTAAATTTTGTATGTGTCAATTTGTCAAATCAGTATGGATAATTTTGCATACAAATTTTTTTTAAGTGAAGAATAATGTGGATTGATAGCTTTCCATTTCCTAAGCAATTGGGGGAAAAAAAAAATTGGTCAGAACCTATCTCAAAAACTAGCAGGCCAGGGGCTGGGAAGGTGGCTAAGTGGTAGCGCACTTGCCTTGCATGCCTGAGGCCCTGGGTTCGATTCCTCAGCACCATATAAGCAAAAAGAAAAAAGCCGGAAGTGGTGCTGTGGCTCAAGTGGTAGAACGCTAGCCTTGAGCTGAGGGACAGCGCCCAGGCCCAGAGTTCAAGCCCCATGACCAGACCCAAAAAAAAAACAAAACAAAAAAAAAACTATCAGGCCTGTGTATTGACTTTCCTGTCCTTCATAGAAAGCAGGAAATGTTTCTCTTCCTTATGTTTACTGGGTGTAGCTCAACTGGTACAGTGCATGTTAGCAAACACAAAGCACTAAATTCCTTATCTGGTACCAAACTTTTATCATTATGATGGTACTATGTTTTTACACAGTGTATCTTTATTTTTAAATACTTTTCTGAGAGCTCTGTATTAAATTCAGAACCTTGAGTATGCTACGAAAGTACTCTCCCACTGAACTATATCCCCAGCTCCTAAAGAAGATCCTTTAGATATGTATCGTGACAGTAGATTTTGGATTTATTTCAAAATAATCTGGAGTATAGAGAGGGATAAAGTGAAAGCATGATTTGCTGAGTTGATAATTATGAAGGTGAGCTGGAGTATGGAGGGCTCTAGTGATAGCCTCCTTAACAAGTGTAAGGCCCTGCGTTCAAACCCCAATGCCATCACTACCACCAAAAAAAAGAGAAAGAAAACAAAATAGAAATATGGGTATTAATTATTTGATTTTCTTAACTTGTAAATGTATAAGATTTTTCTTAATGAAAAAGAATTAAAAAACAGGTGTATAACAAGTGTGAGTCCTACCTTATCCTTAGCTGAGGACTGCTTCCTGGCAGCTCTGGGCTGCTGAGTACTCTGCACAGTGACTGTGTCCCGGTGCTGGTCATGATCTGCCTCCTGTAAACTTCTACATCTGTTCATTTTCCCAGAAAGTACAGGTTTTGAAACCTATGTAGATACAATATATACAACAAATAAATTTAGCAAATAAATGCTGGATATTGTCTTTAAAAAAAATCTCTAACATACTTGAAAAAATAAAAAGATGATTTGTTTAACTTTGATTCATAAAAATAGAAAGCATAAGGATTTAATTTTCTGAAAAACAAGAACTATAGCAAACTCAATAACATGTAAAATGTGATGTTCAGATATTAATATTATGTTCCACAAATAAACATGGTCACTAAATAAATGAATGAATAAATAAAAGTTCTTCAAAAAAATCCTTGTGATTCCTTTTGTTTTCTTACCCTTTCTTCTATTATAGGAAGTGAAATATCAATGAAAGGATCTTTTACTGTGGAGATCTTAAAAAGAAAACAAATTGAGAACTTCAGTTAGAATTCAAGTGTAGTCATTTTGTTTTTTAAAAGATGCAAACTAATCAAATTTCCCAAGCAACTTAAAACTTTTAAATTAGAATAAATTTCATGAAGTGTTAAGATAAAGCCATAAAAAAAGCAGAGCCTCTGAAAAGGTATTTGTAGATTCCATAGGCTATTTCAACTTTAAAAGCCACCCTCTAACCTTTGTAAGAAAGAAATCAACTTCTGTGTTCAGTTTTCTGAACATTTAAGTAAGCACCATGTTATCACTTCTGTATTTCAATGTAACAAGCTAGAAGATATAGTTTATAATCCTGATTTCATAAGGATAGAGAAAACACAGAAAAGTATTCTATAATCTGGGACAGAAAAAAAATGCACATACAGACTCCTTTTTACCATTAAAATCTGATAAAAGCCTAAATGTATATCTTAAGCCCTATGCTTTCAAAAATATTGCAAATGAAAAAAATCTACAAAAATTTAATGCTTTGAGTTGTAAAAGACGATATTTAAAATAAAATTAATACTAAACTCAAAAAATGGGTGAGCTTAATAAAAATACTTTATCAAATCATATACATACAAAGTTTAAATCAACTGTTTACAATCATCCTGCTATGTTACTATGTCATTCATATACAAAGTTTAAATCAACTGTTTACAATCATCCTGCTATGTTACTATGTCATTCGATTGGAACTAGGACATTGCAACTTAACATAATTACTCTCGCCACAGAAATTTCTCTGACACTGCCATCTAAACAGGCAGCTAGTATAGATAGTATATTAAGATAGCCTTGCCCAGCATGGTGGCATACACTTGTAATCCCAGCCCTTAGTAGGATGAGGCAGAAGGACAGTCAGTTCAAGGACAGTCTGGCTACATAGGAAACCCTGTCTCAGACAAACAAACAAACAAAAAATACTGCCTATGTTTCTACTGCTAATAGTTTTTACATGCCAGACTTGAGTGTGGACAAGTACACAATCATGTAAGTGAATCAACATGGTTTGATTACACAAAACTGACCAGTCCCAAGAAACCATTAATGTCTTTGAGCTCATGTTTGTGAGTGTGAAACAAGTAGAATTTGAACTGGCACTGAAATTATGTCTACTAAATTATGTTCATGTCCTGACTTTATCTACTTGTACCCATCAATAAACACTGTGATACTTGAAAAACAAAAAAAGTAACACATAATAAAAATGATGTGGCTGTAATCTATTCCATGAAGTGAATTCCAAAGTACCTACGTTTGCACATTCTTCACACATGACTGTGCTAGTTAATTCACCAATAAAGATCCGATCTATGAAGTTCATTTTTACGCCTTCTTTTCCATATGCTGTAAAAATCATACTTTTTAACACAAAAAATCAACCATCTAATAGTGTTACATGCTATTAATTGTCTATTCAAAACGAATGCAAATAGGGAATTTTTTTCCTGTATTGCATTTGGTAGTATAGTTTACTATAACAATATAGGGTCTTCTCTTTTACAGTTCTGTAGGGCAAATATGACTACCAACTACTATGATTTCCAAAAACTAGTTGTTCTTAAGAGGAAAATAAAGCTATAACCACTATCCCTACTATTCCCCAACTGTTTCATTAACCCATTTAAAGCCTTTGTGCCTTAAGCTGAGTAGAAAGAACAATGAGGAACACTGTTTTCAAGACTAGCTGACAGGCCTCTGGCTATGAAAAGAGTTGTAAAAGACAAGTCGACATATCATAACCTAAGGCATTAACATGGGCAATTAACAACTCTTAGAAACACACATACATACATACATGCTTAATAATATTATAAAAAGTTGAAAGTGAAATACTTATAAATGAAAGGAAGCTGTGCCAATCATTTGTCACACAATAATCTGGGGTTGGAAAAATAGATATTCAATATATGCCATTAATGTAGTCTTGGATGAGTTATACACATTAAGAGGCTACATTATTCAATGATCTCTACTTTGAAAATGTCCCTAATAAACCATGAGGCAGAAATATATTAACAAAATTTAGCCCCCTTCAACTTTTCTTCCACCATTTTTGTGCCTCTACCCTCAAATTTCATAGAAATAGCTTTTATGGGGGGGGGCGCGTATGTGTAAGGTCTCATACTCTCTCTTATCTTCTTACTCACAGCTGCCATGATATAAAGCCATGCCTCCAGCTGGCTTTTGGCTGGCTAACAGGAGATAAGAGTCTCATAGATTTGTCAGCCTGGGCTGGCTTTCAACCTCAATCCTCAAATTGCAGCTTCCTGATTAGCTGGGATTACAGGTGTGAGCCACCAGCACCCAAGCTTAAATCATTAAAATCATTCAAAACTATCTTAAATACTGAATAACAGAGCACTTACATTTGCAAGTATCAAAACATTTTACAGTAACTCTTCAAAATACTGGTACATTAAAAAATTATTCAAGGAATTAAAGGGAGTAAGATTACAGAAAGGGCAAGAAAAACAAGGTTGCTATTGTAAACATGCACTAGATGGCACTATCTCAACATAAAAAAACAAGAAGCATAACTGAAAAGCTAAAATTCTTGAACTCTTAACTGTAATAGAGTTTAAGAGCATATAGTAACTATGTTTAAGAGTGTATGTAACACTGTATATGTATTTGGTTACAAAGTATAAGCATGTAGTATGAACATTATAAAATGGCAAAAATAGAAGTTAGAAATAAATAAAACACAATGTTTAAATGTCTCCTAAAACAATGACTTCACACTAACATTGACTGATAGCACAAAGCAGAACATACACTTAGGATAAGGTAAATTATTAATATCAAAAGATAAAAATTTACACTATAATATCTATAAATGTGATAGGCTTTCATTAATAATTTTTTTTTGGCCTCACAATTGGCCAGATAAAGAGAAAGCACTAGAGTAGGTAAGATGTTCTGAGGGTTGACTATTATCAATCTCCTTAATAGAATAATTTATTTACAATTTCTTTGGCACAGTTAAGCATACGTTAGAGAAAACTAGTTAATAAATTCATAAACCCACTTGTCGAAACACACCTAAAATGTTACAACTTCTGAGGGAGGTTGCTACTTTCAACAATCTTTCAAGTCTTCCCAGATCTTACTAAAACTAAAGAGCATGAGTGGTGTCAAATTATTTGTTTTTTTAATTCCTACAATACATTCTAACATTTTCTATGTCTTACTAAAGTATCTTATAGCCATTGATGTATCCTTTCTTCAACAGTCCTACTTTAGAAAATTAGCTCCTACAATAATCAATTCTCCTACTATAAAGAATAGTGAATATTTTCTCTTTAGAAAAAAGCTTTAACAATTAAAGAGTCAACATACCTTTGACTTTTTTTCTAGTTTCTTCATCAGCAGTCCTAGTAGTTGGGTTGTTAAATGCTTTTAGAATGCTAGCTTGTATTCTCTGTAAAACAAAGTCAGTAAAATCTAGTCTATTATTAGTTAACCCAAGCCCATCCTATTAATTAAAGCACTTGGCTGGGAATGTGGCTTAGTGGTAGAGTGCTTGTCTCACACGCATAAAGACCTGGGCTTAATTCCTCAGTATTACATAAACAAAAAAAGCTCAGGGACAGTGCCCAGGCCCTGAGTTCAAGCCCCAGGACTGGACCCCAAAAAAAAAAAAAAAAGACAAACTAGATCCCCAACTCACACCTTGTACTGGTATCAAGTTGTAATGGATCAAGACCAGAAACTGTGAAACTACTACAGGAAAAAAAAATAGAGAAAATACTATAACATACAAGCATAAGCATTAACCTCCCGAATAGAACTCCAATTGCTCAACAAGTAAGAAAGAGCAAGGACAAATAGGATTACATCAAACCAAAAAGCTACAATAAAAGAAGTAATCACTGGACTGAAGAGAAAGCCTATGAGAAAATTGTCACCAGCTCTATATCTAACAAGGGATTAATAACCAGAATATACAAAGAGCTAAAAAAGCTAACCCCCAAAGGATCAACAACCTAGTTAATAAATGGACAAGTGATCTGAACAGACCATTTTCAAAGGTAATACAAATAATCAGTAAATGCAAGATGAATGCTCAATATCCAGGTTATAAAGATAATGCAAATCAAAACAATGTAGAGATTCCATCTCACTGAAGTCCAAACATCCATCATCAAGAACACAAACAACAACAAATGCTGGTTGGGATACAGAAGAAAAAGGAGATCCTCATCCATCCACTATTGGTGGAAATGTAAACTAGTGCAACCACTGTGGAAATTAGTATGAAGGTTCTTAAAATACTAAAAACAGAACTACCATAAAATCCAGCAATACCACTATTAGGCATAGATCTGAAAGAACATGGTTAGAATAGAAACACTTACACACCTATGTTCATTATTCACAATAGTCAAGCTGTGGAAACAGCCCAGATGACAACTGATGAATGGATCAAGAGAATGTACATATCTGTACATATCAATAAGGAAGAATGAAATTATGTTGTTTTCAGGAAGATGGATGGAACTGGAGATCATCATGTTAAATAACCCAGATTTGGAATTTATCTGTGAATGCTAGACCTAAAAGATAAACAGATATGTAAGCACATACAAGATCATACACACAGATACACACAATACTCTCTCTCTCTCTACCATATGTAACCGTGGGACTACTTGAGCGGATAAACATTAGAGGGTGAAAATACTGAAATACATTGCATTGGTGAATGAATACAACAAACCAAAACTCACTAAAAGCTTTTGAACAGTAAAAGGTAGTGGGGATAAGATGACAGTAAATGAGGGGGTTAATCTGTTTAAAACACTGTACTGTATGTGTGAAACAGGTTCTGGAGGTTTTATCTGAATTTAGTTGCTAATAGTGATCATGTCTTTGGCAACTCTTAGTAAAAAAAAAACAAGTTTCTATTTTTACAGCTGTGTGTTGCTGAGATCTGAATCCAGAGCTTAATACACACTGGGAAAGCACTTCTACTACTGCGTAGCTACAGCCTAGACACTATTTTTATTGATTGATTGATTGATTTTTGCTGGTCTGAACTCAGGGCCTGTCTCTGAACTTCTTTGTGCTCAAGGTTAGCACTCTACCACTTACTGCTTTTTTGAGAAGTTTATTGGAAATAAAGGGTCTCACAAGGACTTTTCTGGCCAGGCTGACTTCAAACTGTGAACCTCAGATCTCAGCCTCCTGATTAGCTAGGTTTACAGACATGAGCCATCAGGACCCAGCTTATTTCTATATCTTTTGTATACATTTTATGAGATTCAATCTCACTAAATTAAGCTAGGCGCTGGTGGATCACGCTTGTAATCCTAGCTACTCAGGAGGCTGAGATCTAAGGATCACGGTCCAAAGCCAGCCCAGGCAGGAAAGTCCGTGAAACTCTCATCTCCAATAAACCACCAGAAAACCAAAAGTGGCACTGTGGCTCAAGTGGTAGTGCTTGCCTTGAGCTGAAGGACAGCGCCCAGACCCAGAGTTCAAGCCCTACTATCTGTGGGAAAATGTTTTCCTGTCTTGATCACAAGTTTTAATATTTAACCACTGTCTGAAATAGACTTTTATGGAGTGGAAATGATGTATCAGCTGATCTACCAATTTTGCTTCTCTGTTTAGAGAGACATTGCTACAAGTATTGCAAATAGCTTGTACAATAAAATTCTTCTTAGCACTGTAATTATGCAGAAATATTGAAAATAACAGATATCCACCAAACAAGGATTGGTTTGATATGTTAGGTTGAAGAAAACAAGTGAACAAGTTTTCTGTTTTCTGATAGGAACAGATGAATATTACATGTTAAGTGAAAAAAAAAACAAAGTATACAGGAAAGTGTACACATGTTGTGTATCTCTTATCCAAAATGCTTGAGACCAAAAGTGTTTCTAATTTTGGATGGAAGATACTAGACTTATTTCTGATATGTAAGCGATAGTGGGGTCAACACACAAGCGTCCAAGAAGAATTAATAGGTAATCTATCAAGTAGAATAAAATGAATGAGTTAATTCCATACACAACCCTCCCCCCTTATTAGCAGCTTAAACTCTTAGGTTAAAATCATTTAGAGTAGAGACATTGGCCTGGGAACTACTATGTACAGCCCTTTAATTAGTTAGAAAGAAGGCTCAACCATTTATCTCTATCTGAAACCTCTTTCAAAGACACTAATATTTACTATAGTTTAAGTCAGTTTCAGACAACCTTCTTTAAAATAATTCTGTCCCACAGTGCATTAAGATGATATATTTTAAGTGGGTTTTTATTAGTTATTCCTTCAAGGTACATTCTTTTTTTTCAGGGAGTGGGGAGGGCTCTGTCCCAAGGCTAGCACTCTACCATTTTGAGCCACAGCTCCACGCCCAGTTTTGGAGTGGTTAATTGGAGATAAGAGATTCATGGGGCCGGGCGCTGGTGGCTCACGCCTGTAATCCTAGCTACTCAGGAGGCTGAGATCTGAGGATCTCGGTTCAAAGCCAGCCCGGGCAGGAAAGACCGTGAGACTCCTATCTCCAATAAACCACCAGAAAACCGGAAGTGGCACTGTAGCTCAAGTGGTAGAGCGCCTGCCTTGAGCTGAAGAGCTGAGGGACAGCGCCCAGGCCCAGAGTTCAAGCCCCACAACCAACCAAAAAAAAAAAAAGATTCATGGGGATTTTTCTGCCCGGGCTGGCTTTGAACTGGGATCCTTAGATCTCTGCCTCCTGAGTGGCTAGGATTATAGGCGTGAGCCAACAGCACTCAGCTGTCAAGGTATATTTCTTGGTTCAATAATCCCAGAATCTTTTTAAAACCATTCTTGGGGTACAAGTATCACATTTAAATCTAGAAATATATATAAGGATGGATTTCTCATCATGGAAAAAAAAAACACCAACTCTTTTAGAATCTGGAAAAGGAGATATGAATTGGCAGGAGGTATCTGTTGAATAAAGGAGACCTTGAACTAGACACAAGCACTAAATTTTCTATGACCTGACGTAGGGGTTAGGTTTGGAATTAATATGAAGCTAACATCACTCACTGATCCTACTGAGAGAACAAGCAGAAAATAGTGTCCATTAAGAACACACAAAAAATATATGGGTAATTGGGCACTAACACTGGTTGGTAAAAGATCTCATAAAGTGATATATCTTTTAAAAAACAATAAAAATGTTATATTAATGATGAGTCAAATTAGGAGAAAAACAAAGACACACAAATTTATGTTGAGAAGACTGCTTTTAAAAGAACTGCTTTTTACAAAGGGCAAACAAATTCAGCAGTGGTACTCAGTAGACACTATGCTGAAAATGAACTGAACAAACTTGTGGTGGGAATGGGAGGGAAAAATTGGGAGTGAGGAAAGGGGTGACACTGTCCAAAAAGAAATGTACTCATTACCTGACTTACATAACTGTAATTCTTCTGTACATCACCTTTATAACAGCAATAAAAATTTCTATTAACTGCTTTTAGTAAATGTTGACTATATAATTTGGACATAAAAATGCAGAACTTCTACACAAATAATCCCTTTAGCATTATAGTCAATCAACTGTACAGTCATAAAAGAAATGAACAATATGAAAGGAGGTCAGTAATTCTTACTTATTTCTAAAGATTCTGGTGGCAGCCCTAACACTGTAGCTTTTCTTCAATCAAAAACACATGGCAGTGACACACTCCAACCCAGCACGATTAACAGCTGTGGCGTTCCCAGGTCAGACAATACAGGTCCTGCCTGAGTGCTCACTGTGACTGACCGCCATGCTGCTCTGGCCTATGAGACTGAACAGACCCACAGACTTGACATTTTAAATCTGCCCATACTATGTAAAGCCCTCAAACAGCATTAGAAAGATAAGAGCTTTCAAAACCAATATGCCTGAGTCTTTAAGATACTATGTAGTATTGTGAAAAACATAATGCAAAGAGCCAATTTGAATCCACTTGTAATGACACATTACTACTATGTAATACAAATATTTCTGCAAATATACTTCTGAAAAAAAATGCTAGCCAACTGATAGTATGAATTAACTGAGAGTAACTAGTTTATTATCTGTAGGTCCAGGGCAAGTAAGTTGCATTTATTTCATAATATAAGAAACAACCTCTCCCTGTCTTATGTCTACCCTCTCAATAAAAATATTAATATACTATAATGTCTGATCCAATTTGATACTCTTTCAAATAGTGAAATCACCATAGTTAAACTTTAAATGGGAGGCTTAAAATATTGTTGCAATTGATAATAAAAATTAGCTAATTTGTAAGTGGTTAGAAAGACTGGAGTTTGAATTTCTATTCTAAATACAATTTCCTAGCCATAAGAAAATATGATCAAATATTACCTCAGAAGGATTATATTCTTGTCCAAAAATGTAATTATCAATCTCTTAACTGATTTTTAAGAACAAAATATAGGCAAAGCATAATAGTTACTATCTTGTCAAATTATCACTTTACTCCAATTACAACATTTCCCAGAAATTGAAAATCCCTGAGAAAGCTAGCGAGAAATAACTTATTTCCAGGACTATTATTTGTTATCATCCCAATTCAAATTCTCAAAAGAGGATGCAATGAAGTTAGAGCACAGCTAACTCATTCAACAAACATTCACAGAGCACTACAGCAGGCCCATGGGATGGAAAATACACAGCAACATCTTTCAAGGACAGCATAAGAGAGGTGACAGACAATGACACCTTCTACAGAGAAGGTCATAGCTGCATAATCAAAGTCTATATAGAGTGAGACCTCGAAAAGGGAGGAGCACTTTGAGAAGCTGAATTCAATATTTAACATGAAGGTCAAACAGCAATAATTAGAAAATTGTACTTTGTAACAGAAGGAAGAGAGTAGTTCATTTTTTAATTTTTAAGATAATTGTAATAAAATGCTAGAACCATAACTATTCACAGAAAGCTGGCCATTAGTAATTGTGCTACAATTCAAACAAAGTAGACCTTAAAAGGCAGGAGAGAAGGGCACAAGAGTATAACCCAGTGGTAGCCTAAAACTTGTGAGGCTCTAGACTCAGAAGAAAGATAAAATAATACATAATGCATTAAAATAGAAAGAAAAAAAGTACACAGTCTAAAGTCTACAATGTCTAATAATACGTAAAACAGACATGTAAACATTTCATTTATATTTGGCTTTTTGTTTTTTTAGTTCGTCAGGAAGCTTGAACTCAGGGCCTGGGCTCTGTCCCTAAGCTTTTTCACTCAAGGCTAGTGTTCTGCCATTTGAGCCATAGTGCCACTTCTGGCTTTTTCTGTTTATGTGGTGCTGAGGAATCAAACCCAGGGCTTCATTCATGCTAGGCAAGCCACATTCCCAGCCCATCTTCACTTGTTTGTTTCTGTTGGTCATGGGGCTTGAACTCTGGGCCTGGGCGCTGTAGTTTATTGGAGATAAAGAGTCTCATAGACATTCCTGCCAGGGCTGGCTTTGAACTATGATACTCAGATTTCAGCCTCCTGAGTAGCTAGGATTACAGGAATGAGCCACCAGTACCTGGCTTATATTTAGCTTTTTTTAAAATCACACATTACCAAATATATTAAGTAGTACATTTGCTGGAATGGAAAACAGATTTTTATTTTTTTTATCCTAATTAAAATTGTCGGGGCTGAGAAGGTGGCTCAGTGGTAGAGCACTTGCCTTGTATGCTCAAGGTCCTGGGATCGATTCCTCAGCACCACATAAGAAAAAAGCCGGAAGTGGCGCTGTGGCTCAAGTGGTAGAGTGCTAGCCTTGAGCTGAAGAGCTGAGGGACAGCGCCCAGGCCCAGAGTTCAGGCCCCACGACCAGATCCAAAAAAAAAAAAAAAAATTGTCAGAGTGGTCCACAGTGGTATACAGAGAACAATTCTGAAGCTGAATGAAGACTCACCAGTGTCTTCTGTGAGCAAAAAGGGACAAATGAATGTCTTACTCTATTTTCCATTACTGTAACAAAGTACAAGAACGCAGTAAAGTCATAAAGAAAATTTACTTAGGACCATGGCTACAGACTCAACGTTTAGCATCTGGCCAAGGCCCTTCTGAGGGAATTACTATGTAGCAGAAGGTATCACATGGCCAGACAAAGACAAGCATGCTGGCTTGAGTGCCTCTTCCATTTCTTGTTAAACCACCAGTGCAGTTATGGGGCTTTACCCTCAGGACCCTCAGGACCCTATCTAATCCAAACTACCTTTTAAAGGCCCCACTTCCAATTACCACTAGCACATGTCATTAGTGATTATATTTCCAATATATGAACTTTTTTTTTTTTTTTTTTGGGTCCGGACATGGGGCCTGAACTCTGGGCCTGGGCGCTGTCCCTCAGCTCTTCTGCTCAAGGCTAGTGCTCTACCACTTTGAGCCACAGATGTTAATTGGGGGATAGAGTTTCATGGGGATTTTTCTGCCCGGGCTGGCTTTGAACTGGGATCCTTAGATCTCTGCCTCCTGAGTGGCTAGGATTATAGGCGTGAGCCAACAGCACTCAGCTGTCAAGGTATATTTCTTGGTTCAATAATCCCAGAATCTTTTTAAAACCATTCTTGGGGT